GGTTTTTTGTTACAAAAATGGAATTTTCAAACTTTTTCCAGTCAAAATTCGTCATTCCTAGAGGTTTTCACTGAAAAAAAAACGCTGGAAATTCGAATTTTCGGTCTTTTTTGAGCGATTTTCGGGCTGAATTCATGTTTATTAGCTTAATTTTATGCTGTTAGTGCTGCTAAGTTTTGGGTATTTTAGAGCTATTTTGGCAGGAAAAAATCTTAAAAATCGAGTTTATTCCTGAAAAATCCCCCGTTTTTAAAGTAGCTGCAAATCACGAAACTAGCTCAAGACAGCCAGAATTCTATCAAAAATTCACAAGAAAAACGAGATTTTTAGCGGTTTTGGTCAATTTTTGTTGAAATTATCAGATTTTTCAGCCATTTTTTGGAATTTAAAAGTTCAAAATCGTAAAAATGGCTGAAAAATCTAAAAATTCTACCAAAAATTGACCAAAAAAACGCCCGAAATATGAGCGAATTTCCAAGTGGCTGGCGTGCCTTTGGCGCGTTTTGAATTTCCTCGATTTGAAGCGTTTTTGGGTCATTTTGGAGCATTTCAAATGGGGGTTTCCCATGATTTTGGGAGATTTTCGAACATTTTTAGGCAAAAAGAAGCTCTTATTTTTGTGATTTTCAGCTCATTTCAGACTAGTTTTCATCAATTTTTCGTTTGGACCATTTTCGGTAGCTTTTAAATTATTTTTTTTTTCGATTTTGATAATTAAAATTTCATTTTTAATCAATTATAGCTGAAATTTATGATTTTCAGGTCATTTTTGTCATATACAGATCAGTTTTTAGACTGAAAAAACTCGTTTTTCTCTAATTTTCTCTAATTTTTGAGATGATTTCAGCCAAAACTAACCCCTCTTCCTGAAGCGACAGCTCTAGAACTCTGCGGAAAAAGCCCGAAAACTCGTCGGCTTTCTTCGAAAAGCACGCCCACGCATCGAGACTTCTCTCGCGGAACTTCTCATTCACCATCACCACAATCGACAGATTATAGGCTTTGGAAGCCGATTGGGCCTGATAATTAGGCCATAAATACTCTTCCAAGTACTGCGAAAACTCCAGCATCATGATTTTTCGCGAGTTAAACTGTGTCTTTAGCATCTCGTTCTCATAGATAATGTCAATAAGTTTGGCGTCGAACTTCTCATGGGTTTCCTTGGTGAATGGAGCCCAATACTTGGCGGCAACCTGAGAAAATTTGAATTTTTGGAAAATTTTCAGGTTTTTTCCCGCTTTTCTGACTTGCAGAAGTATTCTTAAATCCGAAAAATTGGAGTTTTTTGCATTGTTAGCTTCTAAAAATCCATTTTTTGCAGAACTTTAGGAATTTTCAATTTTTAAGAAAAAATTGAATTTCAAAAAACTACCCCCGATATGGTATCATTCTCGATGGCTCCTCTCGTCACCACTGTCTCCTGGTGACGCTTTGTAACCATTCCTTTGTCTGAAAAAAATTTCTTTTGAAAATTTTCGAAAAAAATCATATTCCCGGCGATTTTCAAGGGCTAAAATTTCAAAAAATCAAATATCCGGCCTGAAAACAAGATAGAATATGCAAAAAATTAATGATAAACAAGGTTTTTCAAGAATCAAAAAAAAATTTTATGAAAAAATCCCATTTTCGCCATTTCGAACTGATTTTCAGGGGCTAAAGCATAGAAAAATCAAAAATTCGGGTTGTTTTTGTCTTATTTAGTACAAAACTGATAAGAAAACAGGCGATTTTAGTGATAAACAGGTGCAAAACAATAATTTTGTTTGAAAAAAAAATCTTTTTCGAAAAACAGGGTTTTGCGCCAAGAGGGATGCTGGCGCATTTGTGGTGCATGCTTGGCGCACTTTCGGTTTCCGGCGGGAAATTAAAAAATGGCAGAGAAACCGATTTTAATCGAATTTTCAGCAATTTTCAGGACATAAAATAGAAAAATAATTTATTTTTCATGAAAAATACAGGTCACAATTTAAATTCAACTCTCTCATCGAGCCACGTGGATTCCGACACCTTTTCAGCAGCGACCATTCGTCGTTCAAGCACTGTCACCTCGTCGTTTCGATCGACTAGAATGATTGTGTGCGAGCGGGTACCGTATCTGGAAAATTTAAAATTTTGAAAAAAATTCAAATTTCCCGTCAATCCACCTTCTAGTCTCGGGAAATCGCACGAAAATCGATGTCAGGGGCCTATAGACGTCTCCAGGGAACCCGGTTTGCACCCGAATTTGCTCATCGGGGAAGCATTGCGTTTGACACGTGGCAATTTCAAAAAGCCGCCCGAAAATTTCCTCTCGCTCCAGTTGGTCCGAGTTTTCTAGGCTCTTTTGGAAGAGTTCTAGGCCATATTCGGCCTTTTTGAATGGAATATGAGGGGGACTGTTGGAATACACGTGGAATTCTGAAAATTTCAGAAAATTGGGTTTCCGAAATTCTGAGTTTCAGAATATTCGAAATTCAAAAATTCAATAATTTAGAACATCTGATTTTTCAATTTTTTTGTTTTCTTTTAATTTCTGATTTCCAAATTTCTGAATTCCGGAATTTCTGAATTTCTGAATTTCGGATTTCTGAATTTTCGAGTTAATGAACTTCTGAATTTTCGAGTTTTCTGGAATTTCTGAATTTCTGAATTTCTGAATATCTGGCTTTCTGAATTTCAGAATTTTTGAATTCCTGAATTTCCGATTTTTTGAATGGGATATATTTGAATTTTTGGAATTTCGAAATTTCGAAATTCTGAAATTTGAAAATTTCTTATTTTTGAAAATTTAACAAAATCGAAATTCCTGGAATTCTAGTGGATCCAATTTTTGGAAATTTCTGAATTTTTGAATTTCGGAATTTTTTAATTTTTGAATTTCTGAATTTTTAGATTTCAGAATTTCGAAATTCTAAAATTTTAAAAACTTTTGATCTCAGAAAATTAGAAATTTTGGAATTCTGGAAAATCCGATATTTTTCTTTTTTTCAATTTTTTCGAAATTCCAAAATTTTGAAATTTTGAAAATTTGAGAAAATCGAAATTCCTGGAATTATGGTGGTTCCATTTTTCGGAAATTTCCGATTTTTTGAAATTCTGAATTTCCGAATTTCAGAATTTCGGAATTTTCGAATTTCCGAACTTCTGGAATTTTCGGATTTTTAAATTTTTGAATTTCTGAATTTCTGAGTTTTCGGAATTTCTGAATTTCCGAATTCCCGAATTTCTGAATTTCTGAAATTTCAGAATTTTTAGAATTTTCGAATTTCTGGAATTTCTGAATCTCCGAATTTCAGAATTTCAGAATTTTTGAATTTCAGAATTTTATAATTTTTGAATTTCTGGAATTTTCAGAATTTCGGAATTCTCAATTTTTCAATCTTTGAATTTTCGAAATTTTCGAATTTCTGAATTTCCAATTTTCCTGAAATTTTCATAAATTCTCAAAAACTCACTATCCTCCCATTTAACGACTTCAACATCCCTCACCAACTGATTCGTGAGACTTCTGACCTCAAAAAGTCCCGTATTCGCATTTTTCTCGATTCCAACAAATTGGAATCCATTGAATTGCTCAGCTTTAATTTTTAGATTTTCTAGAAATTCCAAACTTTCAGTTTTCAAAAAATCATTGACGATTCCGCCTCGGCTTGGAGCATTCGTGTGTTTTGTGTCGATTGGTTGAGTGATCGAAAGGAGCATTCCGATTTTGCCACGTGGATTGATTCCTGAAAATTTGAAAAATCTAGTTTCAAGAATTCTGAAAAATCTAAATTACTCAATATCTGGAATTTCTGATTTTTTGAATTTCAGAAAATTCCGAACCAAAAAATAGAAATTCAAAATTTTCGTTTTTTCAAAAATTCAGACTTTTTTGGATTCTCTTGAGTTTTCTGATTTTTTTTCAAATTTTCAGTGAATTTAGACATATTTTGAGCTCAAAAAGTCCCTCACCCAACCAAGTGCCCCGTGCCACATCCTTCTCATCCACCCCGCTCAGAATCCCATCGTGCCAGTGGATTTTCGCAGTTGGACGGTCCAAATCCTCATCTCGATTATTTAAAAGTATCAATTTATACTTTTCATCGGGCGACGTTGCCACTTTTATAAATCCTATGCACATTTTTTTTGGGCTGAAAATGTGTAGTTTGTAGTGAAAAACTGGCGGAAAATTGCAGAAAATCGGTTGAAATTCACCTAAAAAATTGAAATTTGACACTGCTGGGCAGTAGCAAAATCTAGATTTTCCTCAATTTTCGCCTAACTTCAGCGATTTTCAGTGCCAAAATTACAGTTCACAACTGCTGTTTCAGGAAAAATTGTAGTTTGTAGTGAAAAATCAGTGAGAAATTGCAGAAAAATCTGAGAAAATTGTACAAAAAATTGGAATTTGACACTGCAAATATCAATTTTGGTACTGCTTAGCGTAGCAAAATTGGATAATTTTGACCTATTTATGTATAAAACGGTCTGATTGTTTCATTTTCATAGCTAAAAATGTAAAAAATCAGGAAAAAATGTAGTTTGTAGTTAAAAAACGGTAAAAATTTGCAAAAAAAATCCGCTGCAAATAACCTAAAACTTGAAATTTGACACTGCATTTTGGATTTTGCACCTGCTAGGCAGTAGCAAAATCGCATTTTGGTACTGCTTGGCAGTAGCAAAATTGGATAATTTTGACCTATTTACGTATAAAACGGTCTGCTTGTTTCATTTTCATAGCTAAAAATGTAAAAAACAGGAAAAAATGTAGTTTGTAGTTTAAAAACCGTAAAAATTTGCAAAAAATCCGCTGCAAATAACCTAAAACTGGAAAGTTGACACTGCATTTTGGATTTTGCACCTAGGCAGTATCAAAATCGCATTTTGGTACTGCTTGGCAGTAGCAAAATTGGATAATTTTGACCTATTTCATTCAAAATTGGTATAATTTTTTTACCTTCTTGAAGCTGAAAATGTAAGAAATTAGGAAAAAATGTAGTTTGTAGTTAAAAAAAAGTAAAAATTTGCAAAAAATCCGCTGAAATCAACCCAAAAATTGAAAATTCGACACTGCAAATTTCAATTTTGGGCTAATTTCGACCAATTTTTGCATAAAATAAGCTGAATTTCACATTTTTCTAGCTGAAAACCATTAACCACTAGTCGGAAACGTACTTTGTAGTGAAAAATTGCAGAAAAAAGAACCAAAATTGAGAATTTGACACTGCAAAATTCAATTTCTTATCTGCCGGACAGTAGCAAAATCCCATTTTAATACTGCTTAGCAGTAGCAAAATAGCCTAATTTTTGCCTACTTCATTCAAAAATGGCCCGATTTTTACACTTTTGTAGCTGGAAAGACCTAAAATTAGAAAAAAAATGTAATTTTGAGTTAAAAACCAGTGAGAACTACGAGAAAACCACGAAAATTGACCGAAAACCGCAATTTCTTAGTACCAATTTCAAATTTTACACCTGCTAAGCAGTAGCAAAATAGACTAATTTCGACCAATTTTTGCACAAAATGGCTCGATTTTTTCATTTTTTGGGGTTAAAAATGTAGTTTGTAGTGAAAAATCGTTGATAGAAATTTTACATTGCAAAAAATCCAGTTTTTGCACCTGCCCAGCTGATTTTTGGTACTGCTTAGCAGTGGTAAATTTCAATTTTGACACTGCTTGGCAGTAGAAAAATCTTTATTTTTCGCCACATTATAGGCTAATTTTGACCTATTTATTTGGAAAAATGGTCTGATTTTCATTTAAAAAATCACAGGAAAATACAAAGTACACGGCAAAAATAAAGAAAAAAATGCAACTTTCAGGGACAATTTCATCAGTAACATGAGTATTATCATCATTTTACGAGTGATCATAGATCACAAAAACCGGTTTTTTTTACAGAAAACATGCTACAAAAAAACAATTATCTCGATTTATTATGATTCCTCTTAAAATGTAGGCGTCGATTCGCCAGACTATCAGTACTGTAGGAGCATTCTGGACATGCGTAGATGCCTCCTTTCACTTTTACAGCACGTTTCAGACGGAGCACATGGTTCGTTTGTTGGCCGTGTCTGGAAAAATCGATAATTAGGATTAAGGTCAGAAATTGGGGGTTTTTGACCACTTTTAGAGCCAAAAATCCATCATTTTTTCGAGATTTTGACTATGAAAATGCTGAAAAAATGTCGATTTTCATCATTTTTGGTTCATTTTCCATGTTTTTTGGTTCATTTTTCATGATTTTTGGATCATTTTTCATGACTTTTGGTTCAATTTCCATGATTTTTGAGCCATTTTTCATGATTTTTGGATACTTTTTCATGATTTTTGGATACTTTTTCATGATTTTTGGACCATTTTTCATGATTTTTGGAACATTTTTAATGATTTTTGAGCCTTTTTTCATGATTTTTGGCTCATTTTTCATGATTTTAGACCACTTTTAATAAATTTTGAACCATTTTTAATGATTTTTTAGCCAGAATGCGTTTTTTGGGACGATTTGACTCTGAAAATGCTGTAAAAGGTCGATTTTCATCATTTTTGGCTCATTTTTGATGATTTTCGGAGTATTTTTCATGATTTCCGGACCATTTTTTCATGATTTTTGGTCAATTTTTCATGATTTTTGGATACTTTTTCATGATTTTTGGATAAATTTTCATGATTTTCGGACCACTTTTAATGATTTTTGAGACCATTTTTAATGATTTTAAAAAATCAGTTTTTTCAGCATTTTTAGAGCCACAATCGGGCATTTTTTGAGATTTTGCTCTACCTATACAACGCTTTTCGATTTGCAAAGCTTTTTTGGCACTCGAAGCATACGAATTTCTCTTCTTCTGAATTTTCCAGAAAGGTTCCCTCTAGATTTGTCACTGTGAATGGCTCCAAAATCCCAAATTCCGACGAATTCTGAATCCCAGAAGACGTCGGAAGGCTCGGAACGTCTCCAGATCGTCGTTCAGAATATTTAAATTCCCGCGTTTTGTGTTTCGTGGCGATTCCATGCCGCCAGAGTCCTTTTCGATTGTTGAACGACTGTCCACAGGTGAAACAGAAGACTTGGGAAGGATTAGATGGTGATGACGTCATCTGGAATTGGGAGGCGAGGACTTCTGGAGAGTTGAAATCATCAGAAGACGTTGCTGGGATAGAGAAGTCGTCCGTTGGATTCAGATAGTCGTGCTGGATGAAAATTCGGAGATTTTTTGGGGTTTTTAGTGGATTTTAAAGCAATTTAGGCCATTTTCTAGAAAATCCAAATATTTCAAAAAAAATTTTTTTCTTCAAAGTATTCAAAAATTCAAAAAATTAGAAATTCTCACCACAAAACCCTTTCCTCCAAAAATCCACCAAATGGGGGGTTTTAGAGGATTTCTAAGGATTTTAAAGCCTATTTTATGCATTTTTAGTGAAAACATGGATTTTTAGATTTTGCAGGTTTTCAAAATTTCAAAATTTCTTAAATCCCAAAAAATCCCAAAGTTCATAATTTTCAAAAAGTGAAAAACTTCCGAAAAAACCAAAAATTTGAAAAAATTCGAATTTCGACAATTTCAAAATTGACAGCAATTCTAAAAAAATGATTTTCTGAGTGGTTTTTTGAATTTTTAGATTTTTCAAATTCCGAAAAATTCAAAAAATTCAGAAAATTTTCAGAAAATTCAAAAATTTCCAAATTTTGAAAGTTTCCAATTTCTCACCACAAAACCCTTTCCCACATCCACCAAATGCTCCATTTGCTGCTCTTCTTCTTCCACAAAAACCACACTTTGCGATAGTTGCTCCACAGTTTGGTCCAGTTTTTCTAAAAAATTCTTTTTTTTTCAAATTTACCGTAAAACCTGTTATAGAAGGGCCCCCCGAATTTCCAACTTTGAGCCAATTTATCCCGGTTCCTGATAAAGAAATACAGAATGCGTCAACTGATAAATTGTTTATCATAATATCCCCTACATTTTATCAGTTGACACATTTTTGATATCTCCTATAGGAGCTGAGATAATTGAGCTCAAACTTGACGGTGTGGGCGGGAGTGCCTTTCTATTAAAGGTTTTACGGTATTAATCACCTATGGCATCAATTAAACAGTCAACTGGCAGTGCGGCAAATGTGGTTTTCAGCGATTCCAGCTGTTCGATGAATTGATTCATCTGGAAAAATGGGAAAATTCAAAAATTCGAAAATTCAAAATATAGAAAATCCATAACTTCAGAATTCTAAAATTAAGAAATTCGGAAAATAAAGAATTCAAACTCTCAAAAATGTAGAACATTTTAGAGTCATAAATTCAAAATTTCGAAACTTTAAAAATTCGAAAATTCAGAAATTCAAAATCTTTTCAAAATTCGAAAATTCAAAAACTTTGAAACTTTCAAATTTAAATTAAACTTCAAATTTTCAAAACTTGAAAAATCAAAAATTTCCAAAAATTCAAAAAATTCGAAAATTCAAAATTTTAAAAATTCAAACAACCGAAATTCAAAAATTCAGAATTTTCAGAAATTCTAAAATTCGAAAAAAATTCAAATTCAATAGATATAAAAATGGATCTAAATCAACAAAAACCACAAAAATTGGTTCTAAAAACATAGATTCTAAAAAATAAAAAAAAATTTATTGCAAAAAATACAAACAGGAAAATTCAAAATTTTGAAAAAAAATTTCTTTTCAAAATTCCAAAAATCAATAAAAAATCCTAAAACTGATCAATAACCTCTTCCTCGATGATCTGTTGCACTTCTTCAACATGATGATGGGGTTCCCATTGTTGTACCACATTCTGAAACACTGGCTCCACACCAAATCGTTGCTCCATTCGGCTCAACATCCCATCTGCGCGGTCCAGAAGTGCCGAAAATCGGTCTTGATTCTCTAATTCTCTTCTGATGAGTGTCATTTTCAGGTCCAGCAGATTTTCAGACTGTTCGTTCGAGAAGCGGGCTCGTTTCAGTGTTGGTGGTTGGATGTTTCTGGAAAATTTAGAATTTTTGGGATTTTTTAATAATTTGGTACTGCTGGTCAGTACAAAAATCTCATTTTTTCAAGTTTTTTGGTAATTCTAAAAATTCGGAAGAGTCGGTTGTTGGATTTTTTTAAAAATTAGGATTTAAAAAAATTTTGAATTTTTAGAAATTTCCAATTTTCAAGGTTTTTGGGATTTTGGGAATTTTTTTGAATCTTGAAAAATTCAAAAATTCGATAAGATTTCGAAACAATCATTTTTGGAATTTTTTGAAATTCTAAGGAACGTTTCAAATTTCGAATTTTTGGGCTTTTTTGAATTTATGAACATTTGAAAGCTAAGCTTTTTCTGATTTCGGATTTTTTATTGGAATTTTTGAAATTTTTTTGAAAAATTCGAGAAATTCAAAAAGACATTTTTTGGAATTTTGAAAAACTTCAAAATTCCGAAGTTGCGAATATTTGGGATTTTACGAAAAATTGATTTTTTTTTGATTTTTGAAAGTTCAAAATTTAACCCATTTATAGTCTAATATTCATATTTTGTAGCTGAAAATGTCAAAAAACGAGGAAATGTGTAGTTTGTAGTTCAAAAGCGGTGCGAAATTGCAAAAAATCGGTCGAAATCGCCCAAAAATTGAAATTTGACACTGCAAAATTTTCCACGTGGCGATTTCGCACCTGCCCGGCAGTAGCAAAATTCAATTTTTGCGCATTTTTTACTGATTTTTGCAATTTTTCGTCCGTTTTGAACTACAAACTACATATTTCCGCAATTTTTGGCATTTTCAGCTACGAAAATTAAAAAAAAGCAGGTCATTTTTCATATAAATTGGTCAGAATTAGCATATTTTGCTACTGCCAAGCAGTACCAAAATCAACATTTGTCGCACATTCTCAGCACTAAAATCGAATTTTACACTTTCTTTTTCGCTTTTCTTGTCTATTTTAAGCCAGATTTCAGCAATCTTTCACAAGTTTTCGCGAATTTTCAGCAATTTCAGGCTATCTTCTGCGATTTTTGGCTAGATTTTCGCTCTTACTTCTCAATCATCTCCTCCTCCGCTCCCAAAATTTGCATGGGTGGTCCCGACGTCTCCACAAACTCCTGCTCCTCCTCCTCCATTTGCTGATATCTAGCGTATTCCTTGGCCTCTGTCCTCACTGCATTCTGCTTATAAATCGGCTCAAATTGAATTGGCTCTCCTTTCCAGTAATAGACGATGACAGCGTATTCTGGAGACCCGGGGAACGTATCCGACGTCTTCCCCTTCGCCGTATAGATCTTTCTGACGAATTTCTTCTCAACCTGGGTGTTTTCATATCGTTTCGAGCTAATTTTCACATCAAAATCCACGCCAGCTGGCAGTTTTCCCGCCTTATCCACTCTCAACGCGTCTCCATTTTCAGCCAACTTGTAGAAACGGCTGAAACCCGATGGCTTCGTCCAGAGACCATTGTCATCCCGACGGAGCTCCAATAGACAGTAACCCATCTTTTTCAGGTCGATTACAAATGTTCCATTCTGTCTATAGCCAAGGGGGACCGATGAGCATAGTCTGGAAAGTTTCAGACTTGACTACAAAGACTACAAAAACCACACAAACTTGTTTGCATCCACCAACGTGGCACCCAGCATAATCGCAGCGGCCTCGTCGAAACTGACAATACAATGGGAATAGATGTTGAAGCCTTCGTAGAACGCGGACACCATCTGAGGCATACTCGTCATGTTCACTTTTTCCTGAAATTTCGGAATTTAGAGGGGAAATGGTTAAAAAAGGCCGAATTTTCAGCCTTACATAAGACTTTTTCTCCCAATTCGGCTTTCGATGCACCGGTTTTGGATCTAGAGGCGGTACGAAGATCCATGGACGACCGTCGGACCATGAGTAAGTGATGATGGCGAATGGAAGACGTGTGGCACCTTTGTAGCCTGTGTAGATCTGGAAAACAAGCGATTTTGGTACTGCTAATTGAGATTTTGCTACTGCGAAGCAGCAAATTCTCGTTTTGCTACTGCTTCGCAGGTGTAAAATTGAATTTTGCTACTGCTAAGCAGTACCAAATCCCATTTTTGCTACTGCTTAGCAGTAGTAAATTCGGATTTTGCTACTGCTTAGCAGTACCAAATCCCATTTTGCTACTGCTGAGCAGCACCAAAATTGCAGTTTTCGGTCAATTTTCGTCGTTTTTTTCTGGACTTTTTTAGAATTAAGCATATTTTCGGAACATTTTCACTTTGTTTTTGACGATTTTCGAGATTTACACTGAAGAAACACTGAGCCAATATTTATGTATTTTTCAGCGAGTTTTGATTATTTTTGGTCAATTTTTGAGCCAAAAGGTCTGTATTTTTAAAATTTCTCGAGACAAAAAACCGTATTTTTGACATTTTTACAGCCGAATATGAGTATTTTTTAATGTTTTAAGGCGCCAAAATTCGGTATTTCCAGCAATTTTAGAGACAAAATTCAGTATTTTTGCTGATTGGAGAAATTAGCAGGTGTAAAATCCGATTATTTGGTCATTTTTTACTCAATTTTCGCAATTTTTGCTGGTTTTTCACTACAAACTACATTTGTTTCCTGATTTTTTACATTTTCAGCTACAAAAATCTGAAAAATCAGGTCGTTTTTCAAAGAAATAGGTCGAATTTAGTCTATTTTGCTACTGCCAAGCAGTGTCAAATTGTGATTTTGCTACTGCTAAAGCAGTACCAAAATCCATTTTGCACCTGCCGGGCATTACCAAAATTGCAGTTTTCAGTCAATTTTGGTCCATTTTTCAGGAATTTTCTGGAAATTTGTGTCAATGCTACGCAGTTTTCAGTCAATTTTCGTCGATTTTTCGGAATATATTTTTTTAATTTTCCTCATTTTTCCCGCTTTTGGAGCCCCTACCGACCCTTACCTTCTTCTGAAACTGTCCCCTCCCATCGTCCGCACCTCTCGTCGTCTTATTCTCATACTTTTTGAGTATAATTTTATAAGTGTACTCCTTACACCACTCTTTCAACCTTCCTTTCCCATTATCCACTCTAACCATATTTCCCTGGTCCTCCATTTCTTTATAAAACCTGCATTTCCCACTGGGGACCTCCCAACCGCCATTATCATCGTTGAAAACGTCTCTAATCAGGCGTAAATCCACGAGGAACGTTCCCTCCTGCTTAAATTGCATCGGAAGCGATTTACACACTTTCTCGTCGTCGATTTCTAGAATTCCAATGAATAGCTCGCAAGCTTCTTTGTAGTCTATAGCTCGGGTACTGTACATTGGCCATTGATCAAAAATTGGTTCAGAATCCCCTAATCGCTCGAGAGCTGGAGGTGTTTCCGGTGGATTCACGTCTTCTTCTGGCTCTTCTGAAGCCTCTCGCCCCTTATTTTCCTCAATTTTCACGTCTTCTTGCCTTAAAGACTCCTCCGTCTTCTTCAGAGCCGACTCTCGGAGCACACTGAACATATTCGACATTCCTGGAAGATTCCGATTGAGCTCGGAGCCGTGTTGATTGATCGGAATCGCCTTCTTCGTCTCTTCCACCCTCCGTTTTCCAGATTTAGCTAGAAACGTGGCTTTTTCACCGCTCAACGATTGATTTGTGAGGAGTACGGTACTTGCTGGGTACGGTAGTCGTCCCTCATTTTTGATGAGTCGATGTTGTTGGTATTTGGTGGAGGTGGAGGGGCAGATGACGTCGATGGAAGAGAGTCGACCTGGAAAAACCAATTTTTATGCTTAAAATCTAGAAAAATTCTGAAAATTCGACTGAAAACTGCAATTTTGGTACTGCTGGGCAGGTGCAAAATCCCACTTTGCTACTGCTTAGCAGTAGTAAAACCAACTTGGTACTGCTAAGCAGTAGCAAAATCGCATAAATTTGGATTTTGCTACTGCTAAGCAGTAGTAAAACCGAATTTGGTACTGCTAAGCAGTAGTAAAACCGAATTTGGTACTGCTAAGCAGTAGCAAAATCGCATAAATTTGGATTTTGCTACTGCTAAGCAGTAGTAAAACCGAATTTGGTACTGCTAAGCAGTAGCAAAATCGCATAAATTTGGATTTTGCTACTGCTAAGCAGTAGTAAAACCGAATTTGGTACTGCTAAGCAGTAGCAAAATCGCATAAATTTGGATTTTGCTACTGCTAAGCAGTAGTAAAACCGAATTTGGTACTGCTAAGCAGTAGCAAAATCGCATAAATTTGGATTTTGCTACTGCTAAGCAGTAGTAACACCGAATTTGCTACTGCTAGCAGTGGTAAGAAATGTTGAAATTTATGGTTTTAGCTCATTTTTCATAATTTTTTGAAGCCAAAATTTGTGCTTTTCGGGTGATTTTGGGTACAGAAAAGGCATTTTTCAAAGCGCAATTTATTTTTGTTTCATTTTTGAA